CTGTTTTTGCTTTTTTTTTAAGGGTTGGGCAGGCAGGCAGTTTGGTTTGTTTTTCCAGCTCTAATGGACTATTTTTGTTGAGCCTGCTAAATCTTCACTGTTACTCCTACCAAAACACTTCATTTCAGTGTTGGATACTTAAGCAAGTACTTTAGACCAATGAAGCAGATGAAAAGTGGTCTCTCTAACTCCAAAGCTTACACTCTCCAAACTAGGAATAGTACCTCTCCATGAGCTTCACTCTTTCCTCCATCTAAGCAGGAGGTATTTGGATAATCAGAAGACTTTGAAGGAAGCCTTTAAATAGACTATTTGAGTCACAGTAAATTGATTGTCGCTGACAGATCTTATTGAAGAATCACTGTCCTAGGAAAAAGAAAACCAAAACTCTTCTGGACCAACTCTCAACAAAGTGATGAAGTAGAATCTGTCTCTGTCTCTTCCAGGGTCTAGGAATTTAAATATCACCTTCTGACAGCACCTCAAAAATTATATCTTCCTCAATTCTTCCTCCTTCTCTCCCCTAACCCCATCAAACAACTTTTGTGTTCTATTCTTTCCAGATTATACTCTCTTCTTCATGACTATATGGAGGGGATTGAGATTGCTTAGATAAATTATGCTGGCCTCAGATACTGGTTATCAAATAAAGCATCCTATGTAAGTTGCAAATTGTCTTAATTCAGTGAAAATTCCTATTTGTCCTAACAGTCTTTAATAAATAATGGTAATAAAGAAGGAAGACGATAAGTTTATTGAGCATCTTTTACATGCCAGATTCTGAGTAATGCATTTTATAAATCTCATAATGAAGCCATGATCTGGATACCATTATTGTCTCTATCTTACAGGTAAACTTCAACCACATAAATAAATATTAGGATTATTGGAATTGAGATCTCTAACCACAAACCACTTGCACTTTTTAAAATAATGCTGCATTCTTTAAGATCTGTCACTAAAACATGCATGTCCTGGGACCAGTCACTAATCTTATCTAAAACTTTCTATTTGTTCTCTAATTCCTATAGAAAGGTATGAGTTTTCATTAGATCTTTATGTTAATGTGACTTTGTATTTAATTCAATAGATTTAATAGTTTCAATAGATTTAATTCAACGGTCTGTGAGGAAGAGCATGTGAAATGGTTTTAAGCATATTGTTCCTGCCTACATCAGAGTTTTGGCAAAGATCAAATATAGGCTAGGTGTGGAGCTGGGGAAGCCGAAACCAGCCACAACCAAGTAAAGAGCATACCCAAAACACCATTTTCATGTGGGTAGCCCACCACAGCCACTGCAATTGCTATGGCTGCTACAAAAGCAGCTAATCTCTATAGCAGCAGTCACAGCCACCATGCAGATGGCATGCCAGACTCTCAACTGCATTAACACAAGGAGAGGCACCAGCAGAGACCAAAAAAAAAAAAAAAAAAGGAGAGGTTTTCTCTCTGCACAAAGTACACTCCAGAGTAATAGAAGTATCTGATTTACAATAACAAGGGAGGCCTTGATCACATCTGTCTCAGTACTGGACAGATCATCTAGGCAACAAACCAAGAGAGGCACAGTTAATCTATGAGATGGAGAGAACAAATCTATGGTTATTAGTGGGGGGAGGGGGAAGAGAAAGAGGGAGGGAAGGGAGGGAAGACGAATGAGGGAGGAGGAAGGGGCAGGGGAGAGATAAAATAAGGGGCATAAAGAATAAGTATGATTTGTAACAACGAATATGTTAATAAAAATAAATAAATAAAACAAACAAAACAAAACACACGACTTCATAAATGGCAAACTACTATAGATATTTATGAAGTTATCATCTCCAGTATCTTCACCAATATCAGATCCTGGAAGAAAGTGAATAACCCTGACCTAGAGTTGAAAAACAAAACAGTTAGTCAAAGGGGTCCTGGAGAGAGTGAAAATTGATATGGATTTATAGAAAGAGTGATCGTGCTGGAGGATTAGAAAGTTAAAAATACACAAAAGCTAAGAAAGAAAATAAAATAAATTATACGGCCTAGATCCCTGTAAGTGGTGATTGAACATCTGCCTTTCTGTGTTCTGAGCCAGATCAGAGCCCAGTGCGGGAGGAGTCTCTGAAAATGTCTCCAATTTGGCTGGTCAGATAGGGGAGCATCAGCGAATCAGATGAAAATTTGTAGATTTGTAGACTTGTAGATCTGCAGGAAGTAAGTAACAAGAGGGTTGGTAGCTCAGGCTCATCCCAAAAGAATTTCAGCAATTGCTGGTCGTACTCCAGAACATGCACAAACAATATATCATAATGATGAAGAAGTTGACTCTGGGGTTAGATTTTATGTGTTTAAACCCCGAATTAGCCATTTACTAGGGGTTACCCGAAGCCAAGTTACCTAACCTCTCTAAGATCCAGTTTTCCTATCTATAAAATGTAGATAGTGTTAGTACCTACTTCATAGGATTATTGTGAGAAATGAATACCAAATGTATTTAGCAGATTACCTGGCATATACAAGGTATTCAATAATTAACTGTTGTTTTATTCTACTCTCCCCTGCATCCCTCTTTTCTAAGTCACAAACTAAATAGTTGTTCATTGATTGACAGTTTAAGAAAGTCTTGTGACTTCCTAGACCTATGCCTTTCTCCCAACAGGTTCCAGGTGTATATATGCCAGTGATATTAGGAGAGGAGTAAGGGGGTTAATATAAAATTGCCCAATTTAATACCACCCAGAATATTATCTCCAGAGAAAGAGGCAAACCCAGGCACAGCTGATGAGTTAACCAGATATGATACAGAAAACATTTCCTTCTCCTTTTTGGTTTCAAGTCTGTTTGGGGGGCTGTAGATCTCTCTAGCCCAGTTGGTACTTGGAGGCCACAGAGAAGATGCCTATTCTGATGGGAGGGCCTGCCCTACTGTGGATAGCTTTTTTGCTCTTCTGTAAGTAGAGGTTCAGTTATCCCTCCTGGAGGGGACAAAATGGATCTGGGGAGCAGCTGGGGTGGGAACTTTGACAGTTTTGATGGTGGCCTTTTCTAGGACATGTGCAAACCATAGGGCATTTCCCAGGGACTCTGTAGTGGAGACAAGTTGGAAAGCAGGGGAAACTGGGCTAAGCAACACCTAAGGGGAAAGCCAGACTGAAAGCCTGCTTCCTTGTGATCAATTGCTCTGGCATCTCCTAGAGTGCAAAATTTCTCCCAAAGGAAGGAGGATACAGGAAAGAGAAGCTCCCTCTGGGTCAGATTCCTGAGAAGATGGTTATCCCTTAAAACTTCATGGATGTAGATCTCATCCCCATACCCAGACCCCAGTCCTACAAAGTCCCAGAAGACTGAGGATAGACACTAACTTATCCTCTCTGGACTCTTGCAGCTCCGGATGGCATGTTAGCAGGTGAGTCCTCTGTCCTTGTTCCCTCAGCATGTCAAAATGTCTTGTCATTGCTCTCCCCTTACTATTTGCCTTCATCCCATCACTTCTGTTTCGTAATGAGTATGAATCTGCTCCTCCCTGGCCAAACTACTTCCTATCTCCATCTTACCTAGTCTTTTTTCATTTTCCCTATTCAAAAGCTTCTCACATACCATTTCATTCTCTCAAGTCATCCCCTCTGTTTAGGTCAACAACCATACCTGTTGCACACCAACATATCTCAGCCTCTCTCCCAGTTACTTTTACATAATCTCATTTAGTTCTTACATCATCATCACCATCATCATTATTGCTATTTTATAATTGAGGATGCTGAAACTCAGATTAAGTAATTTTCTGGAGGTTACACAGCTAACAAGGGACTGGATTCCAACATAAGTCCTTTGGATCCAAGTCCAGTTTTCTTTTGACTATGTTACCCTTACATTACCATCTACCTACTTCCTTGGCCTCTATTCAAATTTGCATCACACCCCTATGTTCCTGGAAGCCATTCAAGACTGACTTTCTCAGTGCTTCTCACTACCTTCCAGAACTGACATATATTTTGCACTCCATACACACTCATAATTTAATAGGCATAAAAATTTAGAGGTTGGAAAGACCTTGTATTTCATCTAGTCCAACACCTTTTTCCATTGTACATGCATTTATTCACTCAATAAATATTTAATGAACTTTTACTATGTACCAGCTATGGTGCTGAGCAATCGTTCATCATGACAGATACTGTCTGTGCCTGATAAAAGATTGCAGTCCTCATCTGCAGACACAAGAGAATTAGAATAATTATCCCAAATTACATAGTACATTTGTTTGCTTGTTTGTTTAAAAACTCCTGCATTTGTATCCTATCTTTCTCCCCAGGCTGGGAGCTCCCTGGGGCCACAACACTATTTCCTGCATCCTTCAACTTTTTCCCTAGGAAGCAGGACAGAGTCTTATCACCATCAGTATGAGGGTAGACTGACCATTGACTATCTGATTATTGGTATGTTTGTACTTTTGAGCCTAGATAGTTTTCAATAATTGTTTTCCCCTATATCTCTTTCTATAATTTTACCTTCTTGAAGTCACCTGGAAATCTGTGATATCCTTGAGCCCCCCATGGAATAGAATATTTAAAGGAGAGAATGTGACTCTTACATGCAATGGGAAAAATTTCCTTGAAGTCAACTCCACTAAGTGGACCCATAATGGCAACCTTTCAGTAGTGACAACTTCAAGTTGGGACATCTTGAATGCCAGCATCCAGGACAGTGGGAAATACAAATGTCAGAACCAAAATTTTAAAGAGAGTGAACCTGTGTACCTGGAAGTCATCAGTGGTAAGTTCTAGAGAAATGAAAATATAGATCTTCCCATGTGAGGAATGGCCTATCTGAAGATGGGAAGAAAGGAGGTTATTTCAAGGCTTAGGGCAACAGGATGGGACTCAGAATCTCTCATTCAAGACCCCTTCTTCTCTCTTCTTCTACTTCCACTCTTTCTGCCTACCCTTGTGATTTCTTTCAATATTCTGGTCAATATTACTCCTCTACACTATTTTCCTCTGACTATCTTCTCTGCATAGGTGCAGATGTATAATATATGGTCAAATGACATGATGGATATGTGGACATTGCAAAGAGCTGTGTTTTGGGAATAGAATCAAAAGGTTTGATCTAAAGATTTTCTGTGCATGATCCATGTGCCCTGACTTGAATATTGTCATATTGTCAAGGTTGTACTGTTCCTGATGAAAGATATCTGTGTACATTCCTATGTTCTCTATTGTTACTTAAGATAAAATCTTATGTCTGTTTCATCTTAGTCACTCTCCTACCACCAATGATTTGCATAACATGCTTAGGCATACGCGGGTACTTCAAAAAGTTTATGGAAAAATAGACTTAAAAGATAATGCTAATCTTTCTATGAACTTTTTGAAGTACCCTCATGGTGGGTTAATCAATAAATGTTGAGAGAACAAATGAAAGATTTCATTTGGATGGATAGGTCACTGTTATACTTTGTATTTTCCTATTGATGAAAAGAGATGTTTCAACATTTCAAGTTTCAGAATTTTATATGTAAATTCTAAATACAAATGAAAATAATGTAGAATTGCTTCTTTACTTCTTTGCAATAGATTCTAGATTGCTCCTAAATAAAATATGCTTGCACAAGCTAGCCATATTTCCATTCAATTTTTACAGTGACATTAGCCATAGAACTTATTCTTGTCTTATACTGTGTTATTATTGACAAATATCTGTTGAGTATCTACCAACTCCTACGTATTTTGTTAAGCACTGGGTATATAATATAGAACCAGACATAGCCTCTGATCTCCTGGAGCATAGACCTAAATGGAGAAGAGGACATTAATTTAAAAATTATACAAATAATTCAGTAAAATTTTGACACTTATTTTAAGGATGTTTGGGGGCCAACTATGATTAATAGTAGAACTATGAAGTGTCTAGGAGGTAAGAGAGGACAAAACAGGCACTCTCCTAGGCTAGAAGTCCCCATATAGAGCATTTTTATTTCCCCCTTAGTGATTAGAACTAGGAACAATGGTTCTGAAGGGAATTATGGGTCTCAGGCCTTCCATGCATGCACTCAACAGAAAGGTCTGAGATACTTTATGGCCCCAGACTGGCTTTTCAGGAAGAGAGAGGATTTATCAATGTAGAAGACAGGTTGTAAGCACTATTTTGTGTTTCCTTTTTATTGGCTGTATGAGCCAAGAAATGAGTTAATGATAATTCCTGGTTTCTGATACACATTCTATGTCTGACCCCTTATTTTATCTATGTACCTCCCCTTCTCTCTCTCTCTCTCTCTCTCTCTCCCCATTCATTGTTAAGTAAATAACATAATGAATGTGCTTCAGACTGGCTGCTACTTCAAGCCTCTCCTGCGGTGGTAACCGAAGGCCAGTCCCTCCTCTTAAGGTGCCATGGTTGGCCCATTCATTGTTAAGTAAATAACATAATGAATGTGCTTCAGACTGGCTGCTAATTCAAGCCTCTCCTGCGGTGGTAACCGAAGGCCAGTCCCTCCTCTTAAGGTGCCATGGTTGGAAGAACCGGGATGTCTATAAGGTGATCTACTATAAGAATGGCAAAGCTCTCAAATACTGGTATGAGAACCACAACATCTCAATTGCAAGTGCCACAACTGAAGACAGTGGCACCTATTACTGCAAGGGCAATCTTTGGCAGTTGCCTTATACCTCTGATCCCCTCAACATTACTGTAATAAAAGGTGAGTTTGTAAAGGAAAGGGAAGGAGTCCATAGCAGGGGAGGAAAGAGAGGATATCTGAGCCTGAAGTGGTTGCAACTTGTAGAATGGAAGTAGCTGTGATATCTTGGAAAGGCTACTAGACTTGCAATGAGGAGACCTTGGTTATAGTATGCATTTCAGTCTCCATTGTAGATTTCTTATTTGTTAAATGGTGATAATAATACCTGCTCACACTGTGGAATTTTTGTGAAGATTAATGTGGTAATATTTATGAAATGGCTTTGTAAACTGTTAAGTACTACCCAAGCATAACAGATTGTGTTTACTATTTTGTTCTCAAAGTCATCTCTTGCTCCTGGGGAGAGCACTTAAATTTATCAAATTGAAAGGGAGTTTCAAAGTTGAAGAAACAAAGGTGAGACAAGCTTGAAGAGTCCATTCCGGCTTAGGCGGGCCAGGAAAGGAAGCCAATGAGTCAGTAAACTGTGTGCCTATGTGTTGTGGGATAAGGGAACGGGCTGATGAGGAGAGGATAGGCAGCTGAGCTGTCTCTATGACATGGCTGGAACTGAAAACCATCATGTTAAGTGAAGTAAGTCATGCACCGAAAGAAAAATGCTGCATGGTCTCACTCATATATGGAAACTAAAAATAAAGCAAAATAAAATAAAAAGTGGTTCCCACAGAAGTAGAGAGTAGAATATTGGTTACCAGAGCCTGGAAGGAGAGAGGAGTTGGGGGATGACAACTGGTGAACTAACAGGTACAAAACTATGTTATCTAGCCTATGTGAATCATTGTGCAGTGTGTACATGTATTGCAAAAACACACTGTACTCCACAAAAATAAACATAAATAAAATGGAAAAAAAAGAAATTTCCATTAAAAAAAGAGAGAAATATTTGCTATTTAATTGTTTCTGGGCTTCCAGTATCTGCATCTGCAAAGTAGAGGGTTTAGTCTAGACTTCATTCGAATCACTTAAGGAACTTAAAAAAATATTATTGTCCCTTGTTCATCTCTTGGGATTCCTATTTAATTGGTTTGGAGTGAGGCTTGGGCATCATTATTTTTAAAAGCTGTTTCAGGTAATGGTAATTAGTGTTGATGACCACTCGTCTAGATGATCTCTAAGTGATTTCTAGCTATAACATTCTGGAGCTCTATAATTCTAGAATAATCACAAAAACCAATACCATAGAAATAGAATAACAGAGTCACAAAGTAGTAGAATCAAAAGGCAACTTCACTTCACCCAACAGGCATGTATGAAATGATTGATTGAGAAATAAGGGATTGGTGACCCCCTGGCCTCATTCTGTCTCCTTTCCTCCATGAAATTATATAAGTATGTGGATGCTGGTTTTGTCATCTCCAAGAAAGGTGCCATCTTTCCTATGACCGTCCCCCTTGGACACACTGGCTAGAGGAACTGACAGGGTTATGGGGAAATACTCAGGACTCCCTAGGGCCTCAGGGAGCACAGACTGAGGAACCCAATATCCCATGAGTTTTCTTCTCTCTCCTCCTGTATGCCATGTTATGCTAAAGATGGAGGATTACAGTTGGCCCTTCTCTTAGGGAGGGTAAAGCTCTGAACCTCATTTTTCAGTTCCTAATATAAATTGTGTTTTTCTTGCATCTATGTTCTACTGTAGCTCACCAAAGCAAGTACTACTGGCTACAATTTTTTATCCCATTGTTGGTGGTGATTCTGTTTGCTGTGAACACAGGATTATATATCTCAACCCAGCAGCAGTTCCTATTTCTCTTGAAGAGCCAGAGGACCAGGAAAGGCAACAAACTTCTCACATCCTAAGCCAGACTCCAAAAAAAAAAAAAAAAAAAAAAAAAAAAAAAAAAAAGTGATGTCTCTGCTCAAGAAATATTTGCAACAGCGATATTTTTCCAGCATCAGCAATTGCTTCTCAATTGTCAAACATAACTCACAACATAGAAAACTCTGTGTTCAAGGCTTTATAGAACTGCTGCATTAAATCAACTGAAACTGGTTAACTGGCATGTAATAGTAAGTCCTCAATAAACATTGGTTGAATAAATGAAAGAATGAATAGATTTATTTGTTAGCATTTGTAAAAGAGAAGTACAATGTGAATTAAATAACGATGAATCTATGTAACATGATGTTTCTAAGTATTCAAGACTTGCTAGTTTGTTTTCTTCTAGAGGCAAGAACCATGAAGTTCTAGATTAGAAATGTCCTCTCTTGACCATTGTAAGTATGAACTAGAAATGAGAAGTGGGGTTGATAATTTTTATACTCTCTCCAACTTATTACCTATGAGCTTCTGGTTCTTGGCCAAATCTGGAGCAGTCTTGGGCCTTAGGATTTTTTATTTTTATTTTATTTTATTTTGTCAATATACAATGTGGTTGATTATTGTAGCCCATCACCGAAACCTCCCTCCCTCCTCCCTCTCCCCCCTCCCTCCCAACAACCTCCTTTCTGTTTGCTAGTGTATCAACTTCAAGGAATTGTAATTAAGTGGGATTCATCCCAGGGATGCAAGGTTAGTTCAACATATGAAAATCAATAAATGTGACACACTGTATCAATAAAATCAAACACAAGGACCATATGATCATCTCTGCAGATGCTGAAAAAGCATTTGATAAAATTCAACACTCATTCATGACAAAGACCCAAAAGTTAGATATAGATGGAAATTATCTCAGCATAATTAAAGCCATATATGATAAACCCACTGCCAATATCATCTTAAATGGGGAAAAGTTGAAAGCTTTTCCTTTAAGAAGAGGAACTAGACAAGGATGCCCACTCCCACCACTCCCATTCAACATAGAGTTGGAAGTACTGGCCACAGCAATCAGAGAAGAGAAGGAAATAAAGGGCATCCAGATTGGAAAAGATGAAGTCAAACTGTCCCTCTTTGCAGATGACATGATCCTATATCAAACAGCCTAAACCCTCTACAAAAAAACTCTTGGAGTTGATAAAAGATTTCAGCAAAGTAGCAGGATACAAAATCAACACACAAAACTCAGTAGCATTTCTATTCTCCAGTAGTGAACATACAGAAAGAGAAATCAAGTAAGCTTGCCCATTTACAATAGCCACCAAAACAATAAAATACTTAGGAATTGAGTTAACCAAGGATGTGAAAAATCTCTATAATGAGAACTACAAACCACTGCTGAGAGAAATTAAAGA